CACTGACCTACTGACTCTAATCCTTCCTACATAGGTCTCCCACATGGCTAAGATCACAGAGGTGCCCCACCATGACTGGCTTTTTGTTGAAATAGGGCCTCAAATTGAGATCATTCCAAACTCCACTTCCTACGTAGCTGGGATATAGAAGTACACCACTATATCTGGCCAGAAAAAATTATTCTTACACAAAACTATGAACACTGTATACATGTATGTGACTATATCACAATGAAATCCCCTGTACTGGTATTTCAAAAGGAAAAGAAGCCACTATGGAGGCACTTGTCTGTAATCTCAGCACTTGGGAGGCTGAAAGAGGCCAGCCTGGATTATGTAGCAATACACTGGTTAAAAAAAAGAAAGAAAAAAATAGAGCCGCTGGTGGCTCACGCCTGTAATCCTACCTACTCAGGAGGCTGAGATCTGAGGATCTCGGTTCAAAGCCAGCCTGGGCAGGAGAGACCAGGAGAGACGGTGAGACTCCTATCTCCAATAAACCACCAGAAAACCGGAAGTGGAGCTGTAGCTAAAGTGGTAGAGCGCTCACCTTGAGCTGAAGAGCTGAGGGACAGCGCCCAGGCCCAGAGTTCAAGCCCCACGACCGACAAAAAAAAAATAGAGCAAATACTATTATTTTGTTGCCCAAGAGCCATAATGCTGTGTGTTATTAGTTTAAGGAGGGAACAGAATATTCCCAGACTGAAACGTTCTAAGTGTGTCTTACAATGAAGATAGGCAGTACCTAATATGGACTCTGGATATAAAGGTAAGTAAAGGCACGGGGCATCCCAAACAGGGGCAAAGGTCATGAGTAGAGATTAAGAATGGAATGGTTATTTTTTTTTTTTTTTTGGGTCCGGTCGTGGGGCCTGAACTCTGGGCCTGGGCGCTGTCCCTCAGCTCTTCAGCTCAAGGCTAGTGCTCTACCACTTGAGCCACAGCGCCACTTCCGGCTTTTTTCTTTTTGCTTATGTGGTGCTGAGGAATCGAACCCAGGGCCTCGAGCATGCAAGGCAAGTGCTCTACCACTGAGCCACCTTCCCAGCCCTGGAATGGTTATTGAGAAGTGGAATAAAAAGCCTAGGGAAGAGGGTTTGAGCTGGCTGGGCCACAGCTCCTTGAATGTCACATTATAATGGACACCAGTTCTCATTCCACAACCCCACAGAAGCTCCTGACTTCAGATAGGATCCTATGTCTGTTAAGTTCCTACTTGTTGTCCATAATAGTCACAAGTACTAAGCTATACAGGGTGATTAACACCTATAATTCTAGCACTCCAGAGGTAGAGGTAGGAGGATTCTAAGTTGAGGTCTGCCAGGGATAACAAAGCAAGCTCCAGAGCGGCCTCCAACACATGACAACAGGTTGTTTCCAATTCTAACACACTACTGCATTTCCTTTAATCAAATTGACAGTGAGATCTTGCCTTGAAAAATCAAAAGTGCTGAAGTACACAGGTAAATTCTGCAAAGATAAAGTGGCTACTATTATAACAAGTTTCATTCATTTGCACTTAAAAATGCTCAGTGCATAAGTATTGTTATCCAATGCCTTTGGGCACCTGTTTAAGCATCATCAACTACTCATAAACATTCATGAGGTAGTGAAAGCATTCAACAAAGACAATAAAGTTCCTGGGTATTTTGATTTCCTTAGGACAGTAGTTCTAATATAGGGCTACAGCAAGTATGGATGTTAAAAGGCCCTTAAATTTCCTAAAACTGTATGCCAAAGCAATTGGTAAGAACTAAGGACAGACTACTTTTTCTTCTCTTTTTGTATTTTAAAGGAATCCAATATCCAAAATAGGGCTCTAACTTAGAATAACTGCTATTTTAACAAAAATAGCTACATTAACTTCTTAAAAGAACAAAAAGGCAGGAAAGGTTGGTTTGGGACAATTTTGAGAAGCTCCTAACATTTAATATCTCCCCCTAAGGACTACCCAAAGGGAAATGATGTTACCTAGGTCAAACTTCCCTAAAGAAGGGCTAGGAATGTGGTAGAGTGCTTGCCTAGCATGCATGAAGCCCTCAGTTCCATTCTTTAGAACCATATAGTGGTAGAGGGCTAGCCTTGAGCAAAAGAAGCTCAGGAACAGTGCCCAAGCCCTGAGTTTTAACTCCAGGACTGGCACAAAAAAAAGGGGGGGGAAAAATTAAAACCCTTCACTTAAAGGTTTTTTTTTTTTTTAAGTCAGTACTAAGCTAGGCACTGATGCTGAGATCTAAGAATTGCAGTTCAAAGCCAGCTGGGGCAGGAAAGTCTATGAGAATCTTACCTATAATTAACTATCCAAAAAGCTACTCTTATCCACAATTAACTACCAAAAAGCCTGATGTGAAGCTGTGGCTCAAGTGCATGTTAACTTTGAGCAAAGAAGATCAGGGGCAATGTCCAGGCCCTGAGTTCAAGTCCCAGGACTGTTTCCATCTCCCACCCCCCAATGGGGGGCGGGGGGGGAAGAGAGCTAATACTGCAAAATAATAATTTTTTAAAGATTAAAAAACACCTTGGTGGAGGGCAATAAAATAAAGATCATTCAATTTCTCTTTCTTCTCAAGCATAAAATCAGGCAAACAGTAACAAGCTACCTGCCTCTTCTGGTTTCAGCATCTGCTTTTCAAAAGAATCTTCAAAACAAGCTGGTTTCTTTTCAAATTAAACATTCAGAGGTGACATGACCCTAACTGAAACGAACAGAGTATTTGTTGCTTCATCTCTTAGTCATTTCATGCAGGTTTTGTATAACGATACACAATATGCCTATGTGGAGACGCCCAGGGAAATGTGTTTTTGCCAGGTGCCGGGTGGCTCATGCCTGTAATCCTAGCTACTCAGGAGGCTGAGACCTGAGGATCGAGGTTCAAAACCAGCCTGGGCAAGGAAAGTCCGGGAGACTCATCTTCAATTACCCATGAGAAGACTGGAAGTGGCGCTGTGGCTCAAGTGGTAGAGCGCTGGCCTTGAACTGAAGAGCTGAGGGATAGTGACCAGGCCGAGTTCAAGCCCAAAACCAACCAAAAAAAAAACCCCCAAAAACAGAAATGTGTTTTGGAACTGAAAAGAAGCCTTTCTAGCTGCATAATGTGCCTGGGATCTCTATCTTCCGCCTCTTGAAGGAAAGAGACCTAACTCTGTTTTTACAGAGCCTATTAATACACTTAGTATTGTTAAAACTGAATTTGTCAGCTAGATGCCAGTGGTTCATGCCTGTAATCCTAACTACTCAGGAGGCTGAGATCTGACAACTGAAGCTCAAAGCCAACCGATGCAATATAGTCTGTGAAATTCCTATCTCCAATTAACCACCAAGAAAATAAGAAATGGAGCTGTGGCTCAAGTGGTAGAACACTAGCCTTGAGAGGGGGAAAAAAAAAAACCTCTCAGGGACAGCCCTCAGGCTCTGAGTTCAAGCCCTAGGACTGGTACACCCCGTCCCCCCCCCAAATTAATTTGTCAGTTCAAGATTATCCAGAGCAAAAACAAGTATTCCTCCCCCCCAATTCTAATATACTCCTAGAGTACTATACTATCAAATACACTCCTAGTGTATTAGAAGAGATCAAATTAGTCCAGTTACCATCACAGTTATTCTCTTAAAGAATATGTTGTGCGGGTTTGTGCTTGTAATCCTACCTACTTAGGAGGCTGAGCTCTAAGAAAAAGGAAAGTGATTCAAATGCCAGCAGGAAAGTCCCTGACACTTATCTTCAATTAACCACCAAAAAGCTGGAAGTGGAGCCGGCTGAAGTGGAAGAGTGCTAACCCTGAGCAAAAGAGCTCAGGACAGCACCAAGGCCCAGTCAGTTCAAGCCTCAGGACTGGCACACACACCCACTCTCGCGCATGCGGCCCCGCACACACAAAGACACAGCAAACACCAAAAAGTGATGGTCGGGCACCCAAGTAAAATTTCAGTATTATGGCCTGGCGGTGGCTCACACCTGTAATCCTACCTACTCATGAAGAGGTTGAGATCTGAAGATCGAGGTTCAAAAGACCAGCCCCGGCAGTAAAAGCTCACGAGACTCTCATTTCCAATGAATTACCCCCCAAAAAAATAAAAAAATAAAAAAGCCAGAAGTGGAACTGTGGCTCAAGTGGTTGAGGCCCTAGCCTTGAGTACAAAAACTCAGGGCCAGAGCCTAGGCCCAGAGTTCAAGCTTCAGGACCCGCACCAATATATATTATATATATATTATATATATATTATATATATATTATATATATATTATATATATAATATATATGCACACACATATACGTATATATACACACACACATATATATATGCACACACATATATACGTATATATACACACATACATATATGTGTATACATGTATATATACACACATGTGTATACGTGTGTATATATGTATGCATAAATATATATTCTAGTATTGTGGATATTTATCCAGACTCTTCAAGAAGCAGCAAACGGCTCCACAGAAGGGGAGGCCTCGGGAAGAAGGTACCAAGAGGTTCTTCAACCAGCAAGAATCACAGGGCCGTGACACCAGCCCGTCTGGTTCTCGAAGCTTTTTCTTTCTGTTGTTTTTTGGGGCCTGTTGGATCTAATCTTAAGTCTCTAGCGGCCTGAAAATGAACTCTGGACTGATGATATCTAAGAAAGAGAGAAGCGTCATCTCCCACCCCCCCACCCCCGCCCCGGATCCCAACACCCCGGAGCAGGACCCCCACCAGGCTGACACGGAAAACGTTCCCAGACCTGCGGGGTCGGCGGGGCCCGGCGACTGCGGTCGGACAGAGCTGTTTTCCCGCTCCCTCGCGGGGCGGCCGGCCCTTCGGAGCACGGGGCTCTCCGACCTCCACCCAGGCTGCCCTCCCGGCCTCGGTGCCAGCCTCGCCCGAGGGATGTTCCAGCGGCGCTCGGCCGGCCTCCCGCGCGCCGACTCGCACCCCGCGCCCGCCGCCACCCTCCCCGCGGGCGTCGGGCGGGTCTAGCGGCCCCGGCTCCTGTCACTCACCCACCGGGCCCGGGCAGCGGGTGCCCAAGGCTCCCCACGGGAGCTGGGCCCCCCGGGCCTCCAGGTTTCGGCCCGCCCCCTGGCAGGCAGCGCAGGTGGCTGAGCCCCCGCAACAGCGGCCCCGCAGCGGCCGCTCGGTCCAGCTCCCGGCGCTGCCCACTGGGTACAGATCAACAACAAGATGGCGGCCAGCCGAGGGGGCGGGGGCCGGGCGTCATAGTAACCAGGACGGCAAAGAACCCGCCCCCGACTGAGGGGATTCCCCAATCAACAGCTGCTTCTCCCGAATCCTGGAGGACCGCTTCCCACGGACAGGTCAGTTGGTCCGTCAGTCACAGCCTGCCTCTCACGCCCCGTGCCGAATGCCCGGGGCACGTGACTGTGACGGCACGGGTTGGCGCATGCGCCGCGTTCTTGGAGTGTGCGGGCGGCGGCGCAGCTTCGGCTTGGTTACACGCAGGCCCGCGCGCGCGCGCCCTTGGCTTCACGGGTCTGCGTAGCTCGCTGGTGCCCAGCCCGCAACGGCTTGTCACCCTGGCGCGCCCATTTAGCCAGCCGTGAGATCTATTGACTTTCTTTGTCTCTCACCCTTAGGGTTGACCCTCATTCATTGGGGTGCGCAGAAGAGAGGCCTGGCCAAGGTCAACTCAGTCCCTGGAAGTGGAGGTAACTGGGTCTCGAACCTCCTCCTTACTAGCCCCAGAGTGTCCAGAGCCTCTTCCTGGCATCTTCCGCCCCTCGCTGATCCCGATCTGCAGCTTTGGGCCTCAGGCCCTTTGCCCCATGCTTGTTCTGGCAGGGGATGCCTGGCACACAGCGGATGCTCCCTTTTCTCTGCCCCCAAAGAATCTTGCCTTGAGTTTCTTTGATGGCATCTTTTGCCCTGAACTATCCCCACCTGTCCCCAAAGTGGATTGACTATCAAGGTGGTTATCATCCATGTTCTGCAGAGCCACGCCAATTGCAGTCACGTGGCTTGAGCTCACATCCAGATGCCCCTGCTGGCTAACTCTTTGAGAATTTGCAGGCTTAACTACCTCTCTGAACTTGGGTTTCCTCACCTGTGAAATGAGAATCAAAGCTGAGCTGCTCAGAAATGTAGATTTAATGAGCCCTTACAACAGGCTAAAATCTATGCACAGGCACTTTTGAGGTGTTTGAACTTGAAATCTACTCTAATACTAGCTTTAGTGATAGCCCCGTTAAGAAGTTTTGGGTGGTTTTTTTTCCCCACCTGCCAAGTGTAGTGGGTTATAATTCCAACACTAGGAAGGCTGAGGCAGGAGGATGTGAAGTTCAAGACCAATCTGGTCTACGTAATGAGACCATTGCAAAGGAAGAAAAGTTTTTGCCACAGAAGGCATTCCATTTCTTCTCTGAGCCTAGAAGACCATAACTAGTTCAGGAAGGGAAGTTGTCCACTGCCCTGAGAGGACTCAGGCTCACAGATCTGACCAAGGGGCAAAGACTTGAGAATTTAGATAACAAGGATAGCATGCTAAAGGCAACCTTTACCCAGGCATCAGGTCCTCCTGAGGGCTGACAACCTGAACTTGATGTCAGGCCAGGCATGGGAAGGGAAGTCAGCATTACACACCATCAGACCAGTTGCTGTAAGCCACCTTACTTAATAGCTCAATGAGCACAGGGAGAGCTGAGCACTAAGGAATTCGAAAGAATGAAATCAGGAAGAAATGACCTCAGAAGGAAGCTTCCAGCAATCCCAAGATCATCTGTGCACAGATCAAGTCTATCTACTACTCAAATCAATACAAGAGCTCTAGATCCTTCCCAATAAAACTTGTACCACTAGTTGTCAAACTGTCATGAAGGTTGGTGGGACTCTTAACAAAGTTACTAGTGTCCTCTTACGTATTCCAGGACTGTGGCTTCAACTCAGGATCTCAGACTCTAGCTCACAGCTGATTCCCTACCACTTGAGCCACGCTTCTAGTTCTAGCTTTTTTCTGATTAATTGGAGATCAGAGTCTCTCAGATTTGTTTGCCTGTGCTGGCTTCACACCTTGATCCACAGATCTCAGCCTCCTTAGTAGCTAGAATTATAGGTGTGAGCTACTGGTACCTCGTGGTGTTACAAAGAAGCAGGTAGCCTCCAAGCGAACAGGACAACTAGAGGCTCACTGTGTCACTGACAAAGATAATAGTCTTTAATCTCTGCCGAATGTCAATCATTGCCAGTCAGAGTATAATACAGTGCTTCTTCGAAGAAAAAAAAATAACTCTTACTGTTCCCTAGGGTGTGCCAACAAGATAAAACTTTCTCGGAGGAAGAATAAGGAAGCACAGATCTAGGAGCTTCTCCTACACACAGATTAGATTACTAGGCTGGGATTTTTCTGTTTGCAATTTTGTTTATTATTAAATCAATTTGAAAACAAACCCCTAGTCATGTGAAAAAGAAATCCCACACATTAGTGAGTGAAATTGTGGCTGAGCTTCAGATCTAGCGCCGGACTCCTGTGTGTGTGTTGAACAGGTAATCTCTGCCAGTACCTGAACCCAAAAGATGGGAGGAGAGGGAATGGGGGTGGGGAGGAGCAGGGGAGAAGGAAGGGGGGGGAAGAAGAGAGGAAAGGAAGAAGGGTGGAGAGAGCGGGAGGGAAAGACATACAAGAACACAATTTCTGCCTTCAGCAAAACTTCCCTCCGAGCAATCCTCCCGTCTGCAGAGATTCAACCCATCCCCTCCATTTCTCCTCAGTAAATATTCTGAAGACAGGCTCAAATGCATCAAAAGCTTCTTTGGTTCTTTAAAACTAAACACCCTGTCAGGCACCAGTGGCCGTGGGCCTATGGGCCAGAACACAGGCTCACACTGGTTGCCAATGATGCAGTTCTGGGCAATACAAGCAGCTGGGTCCTGAGATTCACTGGGAAATAAAAGTGGGCCATTTAGTTGAGTGTGAGTGGCTCACACCTGTAATCCTAGCTACTCAGGAGGCTGAGATCTGAATATCACAATTGGAAGCCAGTCAGGTTAGACAAGTCTGTGAGACTCTTGGATCCAATTAACCAGTAAATGGCTGGATGGAAGTGGAGGTTTGGCTCAAGTGACAGAGGGTCAGCCTTCAGTGGGGAAAGCTAAGGAATAATGCATAATGCCCAGGCCCTGAGTTCAAACCCAAACACACATACACACACACACACACACACACACACACAAACGTGATGCAGGAAATATCTGAAGGGCTCTCCCTTCACCACCATTCCACTTCCCATGTAGACAGGAACCAAACCAGGCCTGAGTTACCTGTTGGCCCTAGACACACATTGCCTTAAAGGTAGGTGGGAGTAAGAACGTATCCCATTCAGTGACAAGGTAGCTACTTGATAGTAGGAAGAAATAATGAGACAGGGACAGGAGAGAAGGAAGGGGTGAGGACACAAGTAGAAAATGGTTTGAGACTCACGTGCATCTTGTGCTCTGCCATCATAATGCTGCTGAGAAAAATGAGAGAGTTAAACCCTGTGTATCCACAGGGAGCAGATGGAAGGAACTAGGCGCCTCCTGCCTTTATCATGATAGTGCTGATGTGGATACTACCACAGGCAAGGGGGTGGGCTTGGCAGAGGAGGGGAATACCTCGGTGCCCACTTTGGGAGGGGAAGTTGACACATACCAAGTTCGTGACACTACTGTTTTCCTGAGACATCTCCATCCTTGGTATATCCATGAACCCCTCTTTGGATCCTTTATTTCCTTGGATGCTGGGGCAAAGTAGGAACAGAATAGGACAAAGCCTTTGGGACCCAGGCTAAAACAGTGGACTCTTAGGCATAGAGGTAGGCAAAAGAGACTGACCTGTTTAACAACAGAGTCTGAGTTGGTTTGCTTGGTGCCTGCAGTACTTGGGTCAACCTAAAATCCCAGGAGGAGGAACCAAACAGTAAAGGCGGCAGCCCAGCTGACACCAGGAACTAGTGCCATTTCAACTGTCCCTTTATGGTGGGGATAGTTGGTATGTATATGTGATGCCCACATTTTTTTTGGGGGGGGGGGGTTGGTCGTGAGGCTTGAACTCTGGGCCTGGGTGCTGTCCCTCAGCTCTTCAGCTCAAGGCGAGAGCTCTCCCACTTGACCCACAGCACCACTTCCAGTTTTCTAGTGGTTCATTAGAGATAAGAGTCTCATGGACTTTCCTGCCCAGTCTGGCTTTAAACTGTGATCCTCAGATCTCAGCCTCCTCAGAAGCTAGGATGACAGGCGTGAGCCACCGGTGCCTGGCCAATGCCCACATTTTTATCATCCCTTCCACTGGGCCGAGCTCTGTAGGCATTTAGCCTACAGCAGAAAGGCAGGTTTCAGTGGAAGGGAAGGCATCAGGAGCAAGAATAAATGCCCCAGGCCCAATTGCCTCAAACCTTGAGCCATCCATACCCAAGACTGGACTCCAGCAACCCTGGAGACCACTTCCAGTCTCTCTGACTCTAATCTGAAGACCTCTGGAGGGACAGCAGCAGCCCTCTTCCACATCAGTCAACTTGGGTATTGTCATCAAATCTTGGCGACACCATCTATGGCAGCCAGTGTCTAGAGATGGGCTGGGGAAGGTAAGGAGCACAGAGATAGGAGCCCTACCCCTGGAGGAACTTGCTGAGGAGCCAGCCCAGAGTCAAGAGAAGCAAGGCACCAGTTGCTGTCAGCACCCCCACAAACCAGGGCTCCGGCTGCCAATAAACTTCTATGTCTGTCACAAGCATGGGTGCCATCGTTGAAGACACCTGGAATGAAGACCACAGTCTCATTATTGCCTTGCCAAAATCATTTGACCATCCGTGGGTTGGGCCACGCCCCCCCATTCTAGATTTGCTCTTCTATGTTGCCAGGTTCTCTAACTGCAGCCTTCCCCCATCATTCCACAGCAACCCCATCTCCCCCGCCAACAAACTAAATGTTCTCACCCTTCAAGATCTTCTCCTCCCCCTTACTGTGTTTCTGTGGGTGCTGGTGGCCTCTGTGCTGACCCTCTGGGGAATTAGATGCACAATAATGGTGACTGTAGTGCTGAGGTGGTGGATGGAATTGCCTGCATCAGCCACGTGAATCAATAGCCAGTAGGTACACGGCTGGTCCAGCCAAGGAGGTCCCAACAGAGTATCATCATACACCAAGCTGGCCCCTTGCAACCTAAATCGGTTCTGGGTATTCCCTGAAAGCAGAGTGACAGGAGAT